ATAATAAAAAACGATAGCTATTTTAAAATTGAAAGATAAATGTGAAAGATAAATGCAAAAAGTTTAAAGGAAACATGACTTTGATAACCAAATAACCTTTGAATTTTTAAGGTTATTTTATTTTTACGAAAAAAAAATATATCATTTAATCATTTTAGTTGCCAGAGCATCAACTTTTTTTATTATTATTTCCAACCTAGAGCCCCCTAAGCATTTAGTATTTAGGGTCAAGGATTTGTTGTTAGAAAATCTTAGAGGTATTCTTTTTTTTCTTTTTTCTTTTTTAATTGTTTGGAAGGATTTGTTATTAGAAAATTTCTGTCCTTGTGTTGTGGTTCTGACTTCTTAGAAGATCTAAGCCTACAATCATGTGTACCTAGCAAGGTAAGGTAATAGGCAAGGCAGGCAGCTCCATCTAGGGAGGCTTGGGTAGTGTTTTCTTTGGTGATCAACGTTATCTCTGACGTATACGTAGCTACTCACAATTTGTAGATTGGAACATTCTCTATGCATAAGTTTCAATGGCATTTCCCTATTTGCTCCTATGTTTTCGATGGTGTGAAAAAAGAAGCCATGTAGCAGTAGGCGGTAGCTCTTTCACTGTCAATAATCCGTCCATTCTTAATGTTCTGTTCCACTGCGGGCTCCTTTACTTATTTGGCTTTGTGAATATTTTATCTATCCTTAGCTTTGAACTATAGGGCTGCTTTCGACAGATACAACTGCATTAAGAAAGTCTTTATTGAGAAATTTGTTAAAAAATATATATAGAAAATTAATAAGCTTTATAGTAAAATTTTATTAGATTAATTCTTTTTTTTTTTGTACTTTACAAAAAATTAGTGTAAGAAAAATTAATAAAAAAATTGTCAACTGCATCTTATATAAGAAAAGTTGGAGAGAAACTTTTTCTTTTCAAAAAGTGAGAAAAAAAGTTTACAAATTAAGAATTGTGTCAAAAAATAATAAGTCAAATCCTTTATTTGTACTATACACATTATTTTTTTCACAATTAACACCATCTATAATTTTCATTCTTAGTTAATACCTTTTATAATTTAAACTCACAAAAACCCTTAATTACCAACAAAGTCAGGATGCAAATAGAAGATTTAATCATTAATTTTTGGGTCTTTTACAAGTTTTAAATTATGTAGTGTGTTGCTTGGAAGTAAAAATTTTTTAGGGCTGTTGACCACAAGAAAAAATAATGTGCATAGTGTAAATAGGGAGTTTGGCCAAAAAATAAAAGTTAGAAATGTCACTTTTACCTATCTTCTGTTGTAATATTAATATGTGAAAAATACACAAATAACATTGTTGTTTACACCCAATTTTGCAACAAATAGGACAGTGTCATGTTTCATCCACGTTAGCAAGTGTTTTGTTTGTTGAAGAATCATTTTGTTGATGTAGATTTCTCTTAAATAAAGCTCAATCATTGTTTCCACATCATTAACAAAGCCACTCAATTGTTGTGAACTTTTAGGAACATGATTGGCAACACCAACGGTAAGTCAATTTGTTGCAGATTTCATATTGTAGATCTCCAACATACTACCAAGAGGTGTTTACCCCTATAAACACACAGAGATGAAATCAAGTAAGATAGACCTACCTCACACAACAAGCTTAGCACTATTTCTTTTAATGCTCAAATTCATTTTAATTTCATGCCCTTTAATTTAGTTTTAGCTTCACGCTTTAGCCTACATTAAGCTTCAACTTTAATTTAATGTCTTTTCCTTTAGAAATCCTAGAAATTAGTTATAGTCCTCAGAGAAAGCAATTTAGTTTCCCTTTTGTTGGCTTTGTAATGGTAATTAAGACTCACTACCTCCAATGATAGTACTTTGCGATTAGATTGTTTCCTTTCCTTTATTATTTTCCTAAGCACTTCTTAATTAATCAAGCGATATCGATATTCAATTTCATGTTTTGTTTTGTTTCGTTGATTCATATTTCATGTTGTTAGTAGACTTTCCATGTTTCCAACTTCATTCACTTCAACTAAATTTGTTTTTCTTTATTTAAATGTCCTTTTGAAAACTTTATTTTAACTTAGTTTGCATATTTAAAATTCATTTAGATTTTTAGTAGCTTGGCAATCATTTACTTTTCTTGCAGTTTAGCTTTTCCTAATTACATTTGTTTGGAGGAGTCCTTGGAGACATATTCAAGGCATTTTGTTGTTTAACTCATTTAGTGGAAGAAATTCATAACTCACTTTTACCAATCATTTGATCATTAAGGCACAATTTACAACATTCTTCCATCAACTCACAATTGAGTTTCACACTTGGAAAGAAGAGAGGGTTACAGAAAAATGTCTTGTTTTAAGTAAAGCAAGTGGTAGGCTGTTTCACTTGCCACATGCTAAGGAGATTTTTTGGATAACAATCTCTTAGTGGCACACCTAGTGGGACCTCTTGTTGGTAATTGTGTATCAAGGAAATTTTTTCCCTTCTTTGCTTTTCTTGGGCATAAAGCAACTATAATCATCACTAGGAGAGCTAGAAAAGAAGTTGCACAATAAGTGGAAACCGCTCTTGTGAGTCTAGTACATTGTAAAGCTGAAATAAGTCCAAATCATTTGCTTCCCATTTCCCCCATTACTGATCACTCATACGACAACCCAATGTATGGCAAGAATGATGAAGAGAAAGGTGATTCTACCGAGTCAAGTACTAAAATATCTCAAGAACTTCAATAGATAAGAAAATTGTAGGAAAAAGCTATTCAGAGCATATTGTTTGGTCTAAAAAACTTCCAAGTGGTCCAATAGCAACAGTCAGATTTTTTCACTTAATATGTGAACACCATTAAAAAGGCCCATAAAGAAAACTCTCGAGTTGTTTGAGAAGAAGCAACAAAAAGTCACAAAACTCTCTCTGTAGCTTTTGAGAGAACCATGGAATAGGTTTAACAATAGTAAAGTGTTCCAAGGCAACTTGTACCTCCAACAGTAGAACTATTACAACAAAATCTTCTAGATCCTTTATCCAAGGGACATGAAGGGCATGTTAATCAGCCACAAGTGGTGTAGTAGGTACCCAATGCTCAAAATAATGTTTTTTGTGCTAGCTAGATGTAGTTCAATAAGCAATAGCAAAACAATCTTGTTGGAGTCATCCTTGGACCAAGATCTTGTGGAGGCAACATTATATGTAGCTGAGCAATTCAATGTTAACCAATAGAGATTTGTGCCATTTGAGCGATGTCCTCACACTACCCCACAGCTTAATATGCAGCACAATGCCTTTCATTCGTTTAGGTTATAAGCAACACTCTCTCCTATAAATAGAAATCAACTAATTGAACTAGCCCAAGAGACATATAATCTAACTCTAAAACCATTAGTTCATCCTTCCTGCCATAAGCCTTATCCAGACTATATAGATTGGGATAATTTGTTTCCTCGTGCATTCAAAGTGCTTGAATTTACTTTGTTTTCTATGGATGCAAGTTAGTCAACCATTGAACACATTGGTAGGTTTACTGTTCATTGCGAGGAATGATTAAGTAATGATTTCTAAAGTTAAGGCTCTTCTCGAGTTCTTTAATTGGTACTATATTAACATGGTACCTTAGTCTGCTATAAAATTTTGTGTTTACTTGGAGATAAATGGAAGATTTGTTCCTTATTCAATTTTATCAGTCAAAGCCAGAGATATTAGTTGCTAATCTCTCTAGATTGACTCAATGGCTAGGGGAATCTTTAAAAAATTATCTTGTAGTTTAGGAAGGCCAAGATGAAATGTCATGTTACTTTACCTGAGTAAGAGTTTGTAAAGCTTGCTCCTAATGGATAACTTTGGAAAAAGTTTGAGGGGATAGAATTCAAAAACATCTTTGAGTTTTCTTACAAGGTGGCTCAATATGAGAATCTCTTAAGGGAGGAATCCTAAAGGAAGGCTACATCTCAAAGAACTTATTATTAGGATGCTTTTGACCTTGATGTTACCAAAGTCCTTGTAAACAAGCCAATAACTTATCCTAATTTGGTGAAAGTCACT